TTACTGAAGTAATATCATGGAGATATTAATATTAATATTAATATTAAACCATCTCTCTGGATGAATGAAGTTTTTCTCTTTCTCAAAATTTCCAGACGTTCATTTCAAGTGGTGCAGTTTCAAGAAGTTGATGTGTGGTGTGCTTTAGGGTTCACACGTTTGAAAACTGACATGGGGGTGCCGACCATAAAACACAAGAGTCCATGGGCGCTGGTAGCTGGACGTAGGGGGTGCTAAGGGGGCTGCAGGACCCCTAAAATCTGGCATAATGAAAACCATCAGTTCATAAAAATGTTCTAAAGGACATTTTACATTGTTTTTTCTCCTCAAAAGTGACACAATTTGTGTAAAAAGTTGTTAATAACTATAAGCTATAGCTATAAATAATCGTGGCCATTCAAATGAATGCAAAAACCATCAATGCCATGATTTAAGTATGACCTCATTATATAGACTGACTTTCTCCCAGCACCCCAACTCTGACTGACTTCCAGCGTCTCTGCAAGAAAACTACATCGTACTACTATATCACTATCCTACTACTGTATATTCCATCAGTCATTTTCAGGTCTAGGGGTGCCCTGGTTGGTTGCCTGGTGTAGCTTGCAGCCCGTGTACTGAGGCTGGGTCCTTGGTGCTGAGGTCTGGGTTTGGTTCCCGGCCTAAGGCCCTTTGCTGCCTGTGTCATCGTCTCTCTCTCTAAATTCAAGATGACAAATTCACACTTTTAAATCCGGGCTACCAGGAACACTTGATCCTCTTGTATTTTAGTCGGACTAGATGCTCAGATCATGTGACTGACAGACCCTGATCCGGCAGGGGTCTGACAGGTTCCATTCAGGCACAGTTCATTGGGATTTTCAAGCTGATTTTAAATTTAAATGTTATGTTAAAGATTATTTGACTTCACCAGAATTTAACATGACTATACACACGTATACACACTTCTTCAAGTGCCACTACACCACTCTTATTATATGGATAGTGTCATTTCTATTTTATTATTGCCATGTTTGTTAAGCCAGCCACCGCAGTTAGATCACATCATGTGACTAAAACTTTTCATTTTGACCTAGGGTGATCTTTTTTTAGCGCTAGCAGGGTGCCATTTTAAGTGGTAGGGGTCCTCTGCAACATCAGTCTACTATGAACAGACATTATAGATAGACTCCAGGTTCTCTGCTTATGTTTGGCGACAGTGAGCAAATACCGACAGAGCAGAAAGCTGTGTTGGCCGAGCAGACACCACAGTGAGGAGAAAACAGACGGGAGAAAACCGTACTTGACAGAAGGATGAGGTCTATTTAGAAAATCTCACAGCATGATGTGACAAACTGACACATTGACAATATATTTGTCCATATCAGAGCGAAGCTGCAGCTGCACCTAACTGCTCTCAGCCCTATATGAATAATTAGTTTCAGCCATTTCAGAACAGCTAGAGGGGCCTCTGCTTGTTAAAAGTTGGAAGTCATTTGTCCAAACATGAGAAGGAGTTGTAGAATTTCTCCGTGTGACACTCAGATGTCCCAGCAGGCTGCTGAGGGACGATTTTTTTTTCACTGTCTCTGAAATGAGTCACTGTTATGAAAGAACCTTGTTAGGTCTCAGTTCATGCAGCAAAAAGGCTCCAGGGGAGTCATTTATCTGTTGTCAAGTCTGATCATAAAAGGATTTACAAAAGGAGGATCGCTGTAATATTTTCTCGAAAGTCAACAGAGCTAATTACGCAGTTAAGAGAAACTGTTCCCAGAGGAGCTTCGTAATGAGCTACAGTGCACACACACACACACACACACAGCAGACACAAAACACATATGCCGTTTGTAATATTTCTGCCTTATACACATTTGTCATATAATTACTGTTTGACGATGTGCCAGCAGTGTAACTGATAAGTGTGTATTTGCTATTTTATAAAGAATGTGATATAGAGCAGTCAGTGCCAACCCTGCACTGCAGTGGAAACCTTTTTATAGCTTCAGCTTGTCCAATAAAATCTGGGGTGAAAACACGCAGTTCTTATAATGTGGATTTATTTTGGCATGGAAATAAAATAAAATACTTAATAATGGCACAAAATATCAGCAATGCAAAAATCTTCTTAACTGAAGTTGAGCTAAGGATAGCATTCAGGTTGATCTGGCTCCTGTTGTTATTGAACTCCGCTCTCTAGTGGCACAGCACTGCCATCACAGAAATGTTTTTCATGTTTCAGACACAGGAAAGACTGTGAGTGAAAGCTTTGAGCTACAATGCAAGGAGAAAGTAATACATTGACTGTAATTGTTATTGATTCACAGATGTATTTATTTCCACTGTGTCAGTTCCAGACACCTAAAGCAGTTTAACTGTGCATTCCTGACCTCTTGTGCTTAAATCTAGCACAACATGCTGTCAAAGGTTTTCATCAAATGTGATCAGGTGTTAAGATGTTTTGATAAATACACTACCACTCAAACGTTTGGGGTCTTTCAGGTTGTAGACAGTCCTCTTTTATTTTGAATGAAGGCTTTGCAAATAAAGTGCTATTTTGTACATGGAGAACAAAACACTGTACAACACTGTAATGCATTATGTTATTTTAACTTTTAAGTTAAAATATGGAAAATTTTAATTTTAAGTAATATAAACTCAATTTAATTTAATTTAAAAAAGATTCAGGATTAAGCAGCTTTTACTAGTAATTTTAAGTTACACTAACTTAGTTTTCCTGATTAAGTACTTTTTGGTGGGTGTTTTGTTTTCACAGTACAAATAAAAACAAAATTCAGTATCACTAAAAATTACAAAAGCTACTCTATCAAGTGTGTTTAGAAAAAAAAAAGTTTCAACAATTTTTTGGAGTTAAATTAACTTATGTGGTTTTCTACAGTGAATTGTTTGACTGACAACTGAAAGGGCAGAAAGAGAAAGATTTCTCTCAGCAACCGTTATCAGAGAACATAAGAAATCAGCTGTCATTGTAGAAGAAACTGGAAGCTTAGCATTAAAATCTGCTTGCCTCTAACAAGCTGGAATTAACAGTTAGGTGTGTTGTTTTAGCAAAGTGATTCTTAAAACTTCCCTAGATGCGGCAACCAAGTCTCATGGTTTAGGCCACATGTTGTGGTCCTGTCCGTCTCTATATGTTTGGTCCCCTGTATTTGATATTCTTTCAGCACTATGTGACTCACCCCTTAAACCCAATCCAATCACCGCCATCTTTGAAGTAGCACCAGTGAAAATCCATGCCACTGATGCGCAAAAGAAAGCAATTGCTTTTAGCAGCCTCATAGCACGCACAATGACACTCATTCACTGGAAATCCAGCACACACACCCCTTTCAAGAGCTGGGTACAGGAGGCATTGTCTTTGCTCCAGGTTGAGAAAATGAGACATACTGAGTGGTTCCTATCACGACAAGTTTATTCAGATATGGTCCCCATTTACTGAATATGTAAAGGTACTGACTCTATGATGCTACCTGGCTGAATTTGTCCTAGCATAACCCACAACTAATGTCTACATATGGGATCTTTTTCTTTTCCTAATTTATTTACTCCCTGAAATACATTTATTTTTTCTGTTTTATGGTATTACTTCATCTATTTATTTTTGTTCAGTAATTTGTCCACTGAGTGCACTCTTGGTCCCAGTATTGTAACTTCAATATGTGTGTACATGTGAGTGTATGTGTGTCTCTATAAATGCAACACTTATAAAAATTATAAAAAATAAAACAAAAAACTTCCAAATAGAAAGAGAAGGTTGGTCTAGGGTTAGCACTACTGATAATCAGCTGAATACAGAATGAAGTGACAGACCACAGTTTAAACCTGTTCAATCTGACCACTGAGTAGACTGCAGAGGGCCCAAAGAAAAAGTGCTTCCCAAAATATTTAGAGCCAATTTGCACTGTTGTGGTTCATTAATGATCTCGGGTCACTGACTCTTTTCTGGACTGGAAAACTAATTCACAGTGGAACGGTATTTGGGGTTTACAACAGGTTAGTCCCCTGTCAGGCAGCACTGTGGGGACATTGACTAATAAGAGGTTTTAATCATTTAATTCTTCTTCTTTTGGGGCCAAAACTATTTTAAATTTAAATAATAAACTTGTAATAATGTATTCGTTTTATCTGTTAAAAAAGCCATTATTGAAGGAAAGAAGAAAAACATCAATATAACAGGTGACCCCAAACCTTGTAGTCTTGAGTCTGAGTGTCATTCACATTAACAGCAGTTCCAACTGAATATCCCAGGACCAGAGCCACGTACCCCTGAGATCATTTCATTATGAGGACTTTGGTCTTGGTTTACTGACACATAAAAAAACAAAATACCATGTTAGACTTAATGAGGGATAGTGCTATACGGTCTTGCAAAGTTTTTTCATTCAAAGTCGGACATGATAAAAAAGAAGAACCAAAGGAACTAGAAAACTTGAGCAAAGGTGAACATATCATAAAAGACAACAAATATCAGTGAAGTAGAAGGTAGATTATTAAAATAGTTTAATATATTCCATTAAAGCTGCAGTGGGTAACTTTTTATAAAAAATGTTTCATCATATCTGCTGAAACTTATCTTTACAGTAGAACATGAGACAGATAATGTGTGAAACAATCAGGTTCCTCTGGCTCCTCCTAGTGCTCCTAATGGGATTTACAAGAATCCACCGAGCCTGAACGAAAACAACCAATCAGAGCCAAGGAAGATAGTTGATTGTTGAGTCTCATTCCCAGGTCTTCAAATACCCTTGTTTTGGTACAAAATATTGATGCTTTGGGTCCTAAAGCATAACTTGTGATGTCGGGGTCACAGGTAGACATTACTTCATTTTAAAGCGGCACAAACCATAAGGATTGGGAACCACTGCAGAAATGTTGTCTGCACGACCAGATAATGAAGAGTACCTGACAGTCTGTACTCAGGGCAGGAACGCCACAGAAGTGCCAGGATTTGTTGTGTGTTTCTTCCGCCTGTTGATACTGCGCCATGAAAGTGCAGACATATTGGAACGAGAAACGATACCAGCGTTTAATATTGTCACTTTCAAACATATATTGTTGTGTGAGTTTAGCAGTGATAGTATAGTGCTTTATAAAAGTTAAAAAAGACACGAAAAAGAACTCGTTTGACAAAACGCTTAAGTTCACATGACTGTGGACGCATGCGCAGTCAACCGGTTGTAACTCGAAGTATTCAATAATCTGGGAAGCTGTTGGCGCTGGACACCTCACAGCAAAACGAGCAGAAACTAGTGTGTGCTGTTTTAGAGAACGGGGGGCGTCTTTCTCAGCAGGGTCCAGCGACAGAGCTTGACTGACGAGCAGCAATGAGCTTCTTCGGGTTTGGTCAAAGTGCGGACATCGATATAGTTCTGAATGACGCCGAAACGAGAAAGAAAGCCGAGCATAAGAGCGAAGACGGCAGGAAGGACAAATATTTTCTCTTCTACGACGGGGAAACGGTGTCGGGGAAAGTCAACGTTACGCTCAAGTACCCGGGAAAGAGGCTGGAGCACAACGGCATCAAGATTGAGTTTATCGGCCAGATAGGTGAGCGGCTGGCGGGCCTGCGTTTCACACTGAGCCCGCTGAGAGAAGTGGCCAAAGTATGACAGGAGCTGTTGGGGAGCTAGCTACAGGCGCTCAGTATACTGCCCGATACTCACACTGTGTACTTTATTACATTAATCCTAATAAGTAACGCGTGAAGCACTTTGACTTCACGCGCCAGAGCAATGTACAGTCCGAACAAGTGTCAGGTCTCGTGACAGATGCGGGTGCAAGCTAACGTCAGCTGACACATCAGCCATTGGCTAACTGTCTCGTTGACCTTTGACCCTTGTTTTATTAAAAACGAAAAGCTGTTCTGTCACATTAGAGTGGCGACTTTCATGGTCAGTGTACTTTGGGGCCAACGGAGTTTGTTTTTGAAATGAGAAACAGAATCGACTACTGTTAATAAATATGGCGAACAAAACGGGACGGGTTTTCTTTTTGTGTTTGTTTTTAATTTTCAAATTAAAAAAACGGAAAGCGGGTTGTTTTGTCGTTGTCATTTTGTGTTTTTGTTTTATTTGTTATTTTCAAAATAAAAAGGAAAACATCTCGTTATCCAATTTTGGTTTTCTCATTTCAAAATGAACATCCATTGGCCACACTGTACACTGTCCTAGAAGAAGAAGAAGAAGTAGGAAGTAGGGCTGACGTTACACTCAACTGTTAACGAGTCGATACCATTGACAGTACTGGGTTCAGTCTCCTGATCAAAGTGAGACTGAAGACAAATTATGACTGAAAAAGTCCAAGCTACACATCGGTCGATCAGTTCAATTGTTCAGTTCATTTTACGGAAACTGCAGCACCAAAGTATCAAATGATCAAATGATCAAATTCAATATTCGTAATTGATATGTTATTCCATAGTAAAACATTTCTCCAAGTAATATTCATACTGCTTTAAATCAACAGTTTGATAGTATTAACTATTTTTGCTGAGCAAGGGTTTTGTGCAAAATGAATTAAAGTCAGGTTGAGTTCAGTGATTGAAGCAAATAAAAGCCCGGGCTGTTAATTGAATGTTTACAATATTCACCATTAACTGGTTGCTTATTAGCTTTCATATTTGTAGCATATTGGCTCTTTTTTACTCGTATAAAAGCATGTAGTGGGACGCCCTGGTGGCTTGCCTGGTTGAGCTGGCACCCCATGTGCCAGGGCTGAGTCTATACTGCATGTGGCCCTTTGCTCTCTCTCTCTCTCTCTCTCTCTTTCCCTCCTTTCAATCTTCAGCTGTCTCTATCAATTAAAGGCATTGAGCTTTCCCCCAACAACCCTCTAATTACTGCTTATTAACAGTAAGTAAGGGAGTTGTTGTACATGAATTATGAGCTTAATATACTTGCACAGTATGGGCCACATTCACAGGACTTAAAATATTTAAATGATCACAGTGCAAGTTTAAGGTCTCGCTTACATACTGCATTTTCTGAGTTGGAAAGACACTACTAACGCAACCACAATTATTAACTGTTACTCAGGGAGAATGAGTATATTCTTGTGGTACTACCACCTTATAAGGCCCACACTGAGCAAAGCATATTAAGATAGTACTTCATATACAACAACTTCCATATTTACTATCATGAAGTAGTAATGAGGAGGTTATTGTGGGAAATCTCATGGATAGTGGCCTAGTGGTTGTAGAATATGGTCATTCAAAATGAGGTATCAATAAGTGCTCAATAATGATAAAGAGTCAATATTATACTAATATGCATGCTAGTAGGCAACTAGTTAATGGTGAATATGTGTACCTGTAATCTAATGTGTTACTGAATTCTTTTTTATTTCTGAGGTAGGGTATAAACTGTGCAAAACAATGCATACTTCCTTTTCTTAGTGAAAGTGAAACTGATGTCTTTGCGCCTTGAATTTGTAAAAGAAAAAAAAAATCTAATTGACTATGTACACGTGATATAAAACTATAACATAATATAATGCAAAAAAGTCCCATGCCAGCAAAAACAATGCTGTGCTGCATGTTCCCAGGTCATAGATAACCCCCAGAATAAAATACCTGATATTCACAGGCTCACAAGTAAAAGCGTAGGTTTTGTCTGGAGCTAGTCAGTGCCATGTATTTGCTTCAGTATGGCCATGGTGATTCTTCCTCTGGGATTTGGGAGGTTTATCCATGATGACGCTGTCGCTGTGTGAGCACTGAGCAACGGCTGCCCTTTTGCACATGCACTACACAAAGGTCAAGTGTGTGGTGGTACCTGACGAAAGCGTTGCCTTCACAGCGGTCAGCCTGAAAGAAAAAAGGTTACTGGGCTGGTCAAAGGGGGTTCAGTTACAGCAGGGATAAAGTAATGTAAACATTTTAAATTCCTTTCCTTTTATGGCCCAAAATCACTTGTAGTTTCAGTAGTTAACTACCCAAAAAAATGCCAAAAAGTAATCTAACTAATTAAATCACTATGCAAATGTGAATGTAGTCAAACAACCAGCAAGCTACTGCAAAATGTAGTCAAGATCCTAGTTAAATTATTAGTATTAAAATGAGTTAACTCCTCTCTAACACCAATAATAACCCCATAAAAGTGGAACACTGACAGGTGTTTCACCATTCAGCTGCATAATGAGAATCATTACATTTGGTACTTTTTGATGATAATACTGTTGAATGCATCATTTCACCAGTCAGTCACTTCATCTTTTCATCAGTACGAAAGCATTTAAAGAGCCAAAACCAGGGAGTGTGTCTTTAAAGGATGAGGTCAGCTTTACATGATGAACTTCAAGTTTTGTTGGAGTTTCGCAAAAAAATGATGGAAAAATCATTTGATATCTGCAACTAATTGGACAAAGGTTGCACTGTGTAAAACCAGCCTGAGGGCCCGCTTGATTGGGAAAAGATAACTCCTTGTTTCAATCCAGCTACAGCTTATTTGCATTCTTTCAAAGGTACATTCTGTTCTATTTTCATTTCTAATTTATTAAAATGCAGAATAAGCTTAAGCTGAGTTTGAAGCAACAGTAGGAAGTTCCTCTTGACATTTTATGTCACTGCTGCACCCCTCCCTTTCCCCTTTTTTCTGTTTGTCTCCAAATAAATAAGAAGAAGTAGTACTTTATATCATGGTTAGGAGAGCAAAATGGCAGCCTTAAAGGTGGCATTGTTAAAAAAGCAACTAAAGACTGCCCTCATCAGACTGTTCAGAGCTGCAGTAATGGCCCAGGCATTAAATCACTAGCCTAGTTGTACTTCAGGTAAAACGGTTTAAAAGGAGTTGACTTCAGCAATAAAGAAGACAAATCTATTACAGTTTTTGTTCTGTCATCAGATCAAATCTTGACTGTATGTATATGTATATATGTATAAAACTGCTCCACTGCAGCTGTCTGATGCCATTAGTATGTCTTATTCATGTCTTCTTTTCCAGAGCTGTACTATGACAGAGGAAACCACCACGAGTTTGTGTCTCTTGTGAAAGACTTGGCTCGGCCAGGGGAGCTCACACAGTCACAGACGTTTGACTTTGAGTTCACGCATGTGGAGAAACCCTACGAGTCTTACACGGGTCAGAACGTCAAATTACGGTAAGCCCTGCTGTGTGCTCTCTGCATGGTGTGCATGAATTATTTGCTATGTACATAATAGTTCACAGCAACATTCAGGTGAAGAGTGCCATTAGCCCAAACCTAAAAATTAAATCTGACTTAAATGAGTCTCCTGAATGATTAGTTTTGATGTCTCCCTACAGTCTCCTGATGCCATGATCATTTACATAATGTCATAAGGTGAGGAAACAGCAGCAGGTCTCTCCTCATTGCTTGTTTCAGCATTTGAGTAAAACTAATGTGACTTCATTAGAAGATAATATAGTCATCTCTTTGTTTTCTACTGGTCCAGTTGTCCTAGCAAAACTTGAGATCATGACAGCGTATATCAAACAGTAATGCCTGAATACTTGTCATCATGGTATCTCTACTCATACATATGTTATTGTTAGCATTTTAAGTGGTAAAATTAACATGTAATCTGCTTAAAGCTGTTAAAGGAGTAGTTTGACATTTTGGGAAATACAATTATTTGCTTTTTTAAAGAGAGTTATATAAGAAGATCTCATATTTGTCCATTATGTTGGGAGTTATTTAGGTGGATTTTTTTACCTAGCTAATTGTTTTTCCACTTTTTCCTGTCTTTATATTAAGCTAAGCTAATGGTCTTGGCTTGAGGCCACAGCTCTACCAGGTGTGCTACCAGGGCGCCCGCAGTTACGTTCTAAAGTACTAATAAACATGGCCACACCTCCGCACAACCCTGCAGAAGGTTGCACATTGCCGGATTTTTTGTGAAGCTGAAGCACGACTGTCTGTTGTTCCTCTGTGCTGTGTCTAGCTCATCCCTGTCCTCGGTCAAACAGACAAAGACCTGGACATCCAAAAAGCCAGTCTACGTTTTAGCAGGGTGTGCATGAGTGGAACGCCAGACCAACGCGCACCCTCAATTGTAGTATGAATGATACTGTGTGTGTGTCTATGTGACCGGTGCAAGTCTGCAGAACGTGGAAGGTAGGGCTAAACAACTCTTGGCAAGAAAGTAAATAAGCATATTTCTCAAAATGTTGAAATATTCCTCCAGTCCAGCTCAGACGGATGAAATATGAGCCAGGTCTGACGATGTAGAACAGAGCCTGACAAGCTGAGTCTGACATGTCCTAATGTGGCCACTGTAAATGGGATAAAACTGTTTCAAAGGAATATGGCCTTTCCTCTGGCACAACCTTCTTTGCCCCACTACAGTTATCTGTTCTAGTTTAGTTCTAGTATCAGTAACAGGGCCACTCACTGGTTATAGTGTTACACTGCTGTGGGTCCTGTTTCATAGCCACGTGATCATTTTGTCCCTTCTAGCTACTTTCTGAGGGCGACAGTAGGCCGGAGACTGAATGACATCAGCAAAGAGCTGGACATTGTGGTTCACACACTCAGCACCTACCCTGAGCTCAACTCCTCCATCAAGATGGAAGTGGGGATCGAGGACTGCCTACACATTGAGTTTGAGTACAATAAGTCCAAGTATGATTTCCTTTTTACAATTATGCACTAAAATAACTACCTGTGTCCTTCATAAAAGCAAGAGAGACTGATTCAACCGATCATACTGTTTGCTCTCAGGTATCACCTAAAAGATGTGATTGTAGGGAAGATTTACTTTCTGCTGGTGAGGATTAAGATCAAACATATGGAGATTGACATCATCAAGCGGGAGACTACTGGCACGGGGCCCAACGTCTACCACGAGAACGACACCATAGCAAAGTATGAGATCATGGATGGTGCACCAGTCAGAGGTAACTTTTCCTGTCTTTGGTGGGTAATGAACTGTGTTTCTGTCGGGAGTTTCTGTCCCGAGTTCATTTGTCGCACACTAAATCTGACCCCTTGTGCTGCAGGAGAGTCTATCCCCATCAGGCTGTTTCTAGCAGGCTACGAGATGACGCCCACCATGAGGGACATCAACAAGAAGTTCTCGGTGCGGTACTACCTCAACCTGGTCCTCATCGATGAGGAGGAAAGACGCTATTTCAAACAGCAGGTACACATGCTGCACTGTGGCTTCAGTGGAAGTTATATAGTTCATCTGTACTACCACAAGGACCGTCACTCCTCTAGCTGTTGGTGGTTCATTTAGTTTTCCTGATGCACAGATATTTGGAGTAACGCGTTATAAAGTACTGTAATCCCACTACTTTTGGCAGTAACTAATAATGGCTCTCAGTCAATTTTCAAATTAATTACTGAAATTATATGGACTTGTTACTTTAGTCTTACCTGAAAATAGTGGGCAACTGCAAAAGACAGCAGCACGTCCAAGTGTATCCTGTTGATTTTCCTGTTTATGATCTAATGTTACCTGCCCTCTGGTGGTCAGCAGTATGAATAACTAGATACATTTGGCCCACAGCAACACTTAAATAATATATCTGACAGCGAAAAGAGAACTGGATAACCTAGTAACTAATTACTTTAATATGCACCAATTACTTTTGTAAGAAGTAACTAGTAACGTATTACAATTTATTTCTTATTACCAGCACTGGTATTAAAGCTGTAGTAGTTGTAACTTTTACTAAAATAACTGTTAGTCATATTTGCTGAAAATTTCACTTTATCCTGACAGTAATTCATGAGACAGATAATCTGTGAAACAATCAGGTTCCTCTGGCTCCTCCTAGTGCTCCTAATGGTTTTTACAAGAATCCACTGGGCCTGAATGAAACCAACCAATCAGAGCAGTGAAACATAGTTGATTGATGAGTCTCATTCCCAGGTTGTGCAGTACCAACGCTGGGAATGAGACTCAACAATCATCTGTCTTCAGGCCACCAGCCCAAAGTATCGTCTTTCTCGGCTCTGATTGGTTTTTTTTGTTTAGGCCCGGTTGATTCTTGCAAATGCCATTAGGATTGTTTCACAGATTATCTGCCTCATGTAACACTGTCAGGATATAGTCAAAGTTTCAATAAATATGACAAGTTATTTTTTATAAAAGTTACTTACCTGCAGCTTTGTTTTTCTTTCTCACCCAACTGAAAACTTTAGGGTGCAATAGACTTATCTGAATATTAAAGGGTCATTCTACTGATTTTTTTTAATTCAGTGTACTTGTCACAAGGAGAGGAGGAGGAAGAGAGGAAGGAGAAAACCGTTGTATAATGGCTTCTGTTGTTGTGGAGGGAGCTTTCCAAAGCTTGGGAAAAAATGATATATCATTAGTCCTGTATTGTGCTGTTGCAGGAGATCACCCTGTGGAGGAAAGGTGACATAGTGAGGAAGAGTATGTCTCACCAAGCAGCCATCGCCTCCCAGCGCTTTGAAGGCTCCTCCAATCCAGAAAGGTCCCAGGCCCAGAGCAACTCAGAGGACGACAGCTAAAGCTCATACTCGACCCTTGTGGAGTGAGTGTGTGAGCGAACGCAGTGCAGAAGTTGTCAGCAAAGTCTGAATGAGAATATCCCTTGTTTGCATCCAGATAGAATGTGCTGCAGTATTTTTCAGGGTGTGTGTGTGTGTGTGTGTGTGTGTGTGTGTGTGTGTGTGTGTGTGTGTGTGTGTGTGTGTGTGTGTGTGAGAGAGAGAGACTGTGTGAGTGTGAGTGAGTGACTGTGTGAGTGAGTGAGTGAGTGAGGCTTTGAAATGTGACTGTGTGTGTGTCAAGGGAACAAACAGTCGGACCAGGTAGTTGCAAGTAATTCTGAGTGTTTGTGTGTTTAAATCACCTTGAAGTACCAGCTGGGTGGAGTTTTCCACATTAAGACTGATTAGACAGTGTCAGCAAATTTCTCTGTCACACAAAACTGCACAAAATTTAAGTGCTTAACTTAATTTGTATTTTATTATTTTATTGTTTTGGCATTTTTGTACAGTTCAGTGTGGCAAACTCCACCCGTTAGATGCACTTAAATATCATTTGCAAATACTGTTTGACCAATATCTTGAATTGTGTGTATGAATGTACAGTACGTGGCAGTGAGCCACCTCGGGTGTATTTCTAATAAGACCTTTCCTTCAAACTGCTTACTTGGCTGGAAGATTGTGCTGTGCAGAAACTGTAGTCATACAGTATGTTTCTAAGAAGTGGGTAAACAGTAGATCTCACAGTTCATTTCTCTACGTCTCCTCAATGGAATGTGACATTAATTCATTTAAATGTTTTTGCTTGTTCATGTAAAAAAAAAATTTCATTTTATAAATTAGCCATGACTCTTAGATCAGTGGTTCCCAACCTAGGGGTCTGGACCCCCACAAGGGGGCGCCAAAGCCTCACAGAGAGTCGCCATGCCTTTTTGATTTTAAGAGTAAGAAAACGTTTAAAACTTACGCAATAGGCGTCTATCTCAACACTTTATTAATTTATGTGAAGATTAGCCAATTTAAAAAAAAAAAGTATAAATGTTTTTAAGTTTAGATTATTATTTAAGATCTAAACCAAATAATGTCCTCCTGCATTAGAGCTAGTAAAACAATCAAGTGTGTAAAAAACATAATGCAGACAGAGAATTGTATAAAAAGTTTCTAAAAATATCAGAAAAACTCATCTCTGTTACTCACAGGAAATAATCTGCTCAAATTTCATCCAAATCTCTGGTTTTAAACAAACTTCCTGCAGTTATTGTGTTCACTATTTGGGTTCATTGTACAGTTTGTCAGCTGTTCTCTACTATTATACACTGAATGTGATATGAAATATCCATAAAACGTGTCACTAAGTCAGGGGTCGTCAGTTTACTCAGTGGCAGAAAAGGGGCCCCTTAAGGAAAAAGGTTGGGAACCACTGTCTTAAATAATAAACAGTACAAGAGTTTAAAAAATGCTCCAAATGACAGGAAACACATTTACGTATTGGTATAAGATGATGAATATTTTCATACATTCCCGACTCTCCAGAAATAGGCAGGACTGTGGCAGAGCATTTATTTTTAAAGTAAAGTCCATTTTTAACCAGCATTTTACAGGTTTGATGCATCCGTTGGTTGTGTCAGGTGGTGTTGCCACTGCTGCTAAAACAAACGTGGCACTTGTGAACGCTGTGGGATCGTACTTCCATCACTGTTCCAGTCTCTGATAGTTTGAAGCCCTGCTTTCTTATTTGCACTATGATCTGCTTTTTCTTCTTGCTTCATGAACTCACTGGACTTGCGGCAGGGTTCAGGGGCGTACCCGGGCATCACTTCAAATCTAATGTATAGACAGTATTACACCTGTGTTTAGTTACAAAGGCGACATGGATGCTCGTGAGTCCTGCCTCTTAACAGGCTGCCAGGACTGACTGCCCTGTTTGGTTGGCTAGCTTTGTGCCTAAGGATTTATTGCCAAAATGTTTCAGTGCAATACTAGAGAACAGTTGCCACAGTGTAAGCCCTTTCTTCCCATTTAGACTGTGCTCATCAGTTTATCCACTTGTCACTTTTCACAAGTTTAAATAATGGGTCTAGTCTGAAGGTGGTTTCAATTAATGTTATTGTGAAAAACTGAATGTATAAGAAAGGCTGCTTTTAATTCAAATTCAGAATGTCCCAAACTATATTTCCTAAATAAGCATAATCAGGTTTTTTTGTTGCTTCTGGTCAGGCAGAGAACGTAATTGAGTTCTGTGCCATTACTTCTTTTGTTTTCGTTCCTGTTCTAAACTATATTTTCTCCATCCTGAAAAAAGAGCACACCAGCGAGTACGTGTGAAGCACTGAAACTGAGCCCCAGCACTCAGCCCATTGTCCTTACATCGCCCTAGCCTGCAACTCTTTGCTCGGCAAGCTTACGCTGTGCAACCTCGCACAATCTATCACTGTGTATCGTATTGAAGCTTGAGACATTTTTGTATTTTGTACTTTTCCTGGCAGTAAGCTCAATTTTTAGTATGCTGTTGTTGCGCTAAAGCAACGCGTCCACCGTCGCCAGACTGCTGTTCAGGTAACTGCTGAAATACAGGTACGCCGGCCTAGCATGTGTTGATCTGAGCCGATAAGACACTTTTGTTTGGATTAATGTAACTTGACTTACGGGTTGACAGAGTTTTCCTTCCTTCAAGATTCTTCCTTTGGTGTGTTGTTGATGTTGGTAGAAATCACTGCCTTGTAGGGCTGCAACTAACTATTTTTATCGGTTAATCTGTCCATCATTTCCTCGATTAATTTATTAGTAGTTTGGTCTAGGAAATGGTTAAACATGTTGATCAAGGTGACGTCCTCAAACGTCTTGTTTTGGACTAAAGAAACCAGAAAATATTCACAATTGAGAAACTGAAATCAGACAACAATTACTCAAAATAGTTGCAGATAAATAGTTGACAACTGATCGATTAATCGACTAATTGTTGCAGCTCTACTGCCTTGTAAGCTGAATGTATTAGGTACTCGACATCATTGTAATGAGGGCCAGCCCTCAATGATTTTGCAAGTTTAAATAAAGGTAATATATGAAGGGACTGTACCAAAATGATTTGAGTGGGGAGGGGGGTGAACCCTAAATTTGATTTACAAAAAAAAAAAAAAAAAAAGACCTTCCCCAGGGTTATAAATATTTGTTTTGGATCCTCCCTTCCCCCTGCAAAAGAACACTCTCCTCTCCTCATTTCTTTACACACCCCAAATCACCAAATTGCACAATAGGAGCAGAATTGGTCATTGCCAAATTGATGATAAACATAAGAAATAGTGTGCTCTTTTTACAGTATATGTTTTACAGTATAGTATTCCAGCCCCTCTCTGTTTTTGAACCAGGAGCTACAAAATGAACAGCTGTTAGCACTAACGCCGCTGCTGTCGCGTTGTAAGATTTTTGCTTCACCTGTTGCAGAACAGGTTGGGTTGTGCTGAACTGAGCATAATATTATAGGTTAACTCTATATGAGGCTGTACGTGTATTTCTGTAGGTGCTTTTAAAGTGAAGGAGACCATTGGCTAGTGGAAAAAGGTGCACTCTTCACTATGTGTTCAGTCAGAATCAGGTTAAGAAGCAGTAAGTAGGTTTTCACATACAAGGAATTTGCCTTGGTAGTTTTGCACAACCACAAATAGTAGAAGAAGAGGGACGAATGGAAATCAAGTACTCAAGTCAAGAATCATAAATTGAAAAGAAAAACATTAAAATATGTCAAATGTATGTTTTTAAAATGAAAAGAGTTCAGTGTTTGAAATGACAAGGATGGAATGTGCAAAATATAGATCGAGCACAAGTTGATGCGCTAGTTCAACTTGAGCGAGACTAACCATAAACATCCTCTACACCTTTCTCAAACTCACAACTTGGTCCTTATTGCTACTAGAAAATAAAGCCTTGATGCACAGACATGATTGTTGTCCTCTGCATATAATAAAACATACCTTTATGATTCATGGTGCATGCAAAAGGCATGGTTTTGACATAGTTACTAACTGATGTAACTATTCAGCCTTTTTTTCTAAACGGTAAACATGACAAAAAAGCATGAAATGGAATATAAATCTGGGGCTTGGAAAACAACATCCTGCCCTGCTCTAGCAACATATTTCAAAGCACACCTCCCTTCTCTGACCTCCACCACCTAATCATTTTCTTACAGTCCCTAACTTCGATAGAATGTATTCTGCATTATTTCCCCGCCTAAGTCTGGGTCCTTTATTTTGGCAGTTACCTCAGTTAATACAATAACACTTCACTGAATTCTGCTGATGAAAAAAAAAACCATTCATGAAGCCCAAAGCAACTTTGGAGTACAGTACATGTTTCTTTTGTTCTGTTATGTGGCTGTGATTAAATGTTTTGCCAGTACTGGTACAGACACACAGTAGCTAAAGTAACCCAGTTCAGTAACAGAGCATAAACTGAGATTAAACGAGGAAGGACTGATGAATTGTACAGTGTAAATGCACAATGTAAATGCATCCCTACTCCTCTTTTGTTTATGTTCATGTCATATTTTATCTTCCTGTCTATAAATGTTGATTTTAATCATTTTATATTCTGTTTTACTTTGAATTAAAAGGGAGTAACTGAAAAGCGCATCTCCTCTGTGTTAATTGAGTGACGCTCAATGTGTGCTCCTCCCGGGTCTGCAACTGTTATTTTCATTATTTTCCTGATTAACACATCTATTGTTTCAGTTAATAGTTTAAAGCTGTGACTTTTAGTCATAACTTTCACTATATTCTGACAGTAGAACATGAGACAGATAATCTGTGAAAAAATCAGGTTCCTCTGGCTCCTCCTAGTACTCCTAATGGCATTTACAAGAATCCACCTGAACGAAAACAACCAATCGGAGCCAAGAAAGATAGTTGATTGTTGAGTCTCATTCCCAGGATCCCAAATAGTCCATTTGACACCCTGGGAATGAGACTCAACAATAGCACTAGGAGGAGTCAGAGGACGCTGATTGTTTCACAGATTATCTGTCTCATGTTCTACTGTCAGGATAAAGTGACAGCTTCAGCAGATATGACAAAAAGTTATTTTTTATAAAAATGAACTACTGCAGCTTGAAGACATTCACAGCTACTGTAACAGAGACACAAGATGATTGTCTGTAAGCCAAGCTCACTTCTCTCTCATTAATATGACATGGATGCAGTCACACTGTGGTCATGTTTTGTTCCTTCCTGAATGATAAATATTGGACAGTCTTACATTTTTACTCAAGTTAATTAGGGCTGCACAATAAATCAAAATATATTTAGTTTTAAAAGGTAAAATGTGTGACAAACAGCATTATAATGAAGTATTGTAGTCAGGATTCCTACACGACCTGGAAAACATTTTTAAATTGTATTTGAGCCTGTGCTGTGGCTTCAGTTAATTACTCAGAGAAAAAGTGTAGTCAATACGGTTCAAATTAAAAATAAAAATGTGTTGAGAACAGAGAAGTGCACCACAAAAGCGAGCTGGCACGGAGAGTCCCTTATATGATGACCACCGTTTGTGCTGTCCTATATAAAATCCTGTATTGTCAAGAAAAACTCCTGAAAAGTGGCTGAAAAATGATTTCTGAAAAGCTGTAGTGCTGCAGAGATGCCCTGGCCTACAAATCATGTTCTCCAGACGCAACAGACCCTAACAAATGTGTGATCACGGCATGTTTCCCTCCTCACATTCTGTTCATGTTGTTCATTTGCTTGTTGATATAGAATTGGGAATGTAAATGCATCATGATTGTCCTCAGTAAAAGCCCCACTGATGGCGTGTCTCCAGTATAGTTTTCACTGTGTGGAGCTTGTGCTGTCACTAGAGGGCAGGTTGGGATCAAATTTCTTTAAGAACTATATTTCCTGTAGAAAAATAATGAAATCGTTTGTGCAAGGCCATTGTTAATCTGCAATATGAGTACAAGTGTAACTTCAATTATTATTATCTGTTGAATATGTCTAAAGTCTACAGCTCTACAAAGAGTGTAACCAATGTTATTTTGTCTCAGAAATAAAGCAGAAACTCATTATCCTTCTGCTTTTAGCAGTGTTCAGACAGCTAAAACTGTTTCCAATGACTCATTCATCATTTTAAACAGGGATCAGTTGAATAGATTCCACAGGAAGTATACCGTGGTATGGTGTTATGTGATGAATGCTTTCTCGTTATCTAGAAAAAATGTCTGTTATTTAAGAGAAGACCTTGCTGCTGAAGAAAAAAATGTTCTGACTGAACACAGAGTGAAGGTTCTATTATGCAGTGGCACATTCGACACAGGGAGCTTCTTCAGAAATTCTCTGTGTTCAACAGAAACAATGATTGGAGTTATTGCACAAGACGGACATCATGAAAATGTTTGACTATGTTCACTAGACAGAAGCAACAACTGGCAGGTCTATATGTCAGCTGAATTAGATTCAGTTCAGCAGTTTCCCCATACAAAACTCCTGAACCTTCTGTCCTCACATTATGTTAATATTCTTATTAATTAAACGTACTACAAGGAGTGTTTAACTGGTTATGAAGCAGTCTCAATTTCATACTGGTGCCTCTAAATGGCCGACATAAATAAGACCATCAGTGATTCATTCTTTTGATTTAGATTTTTGACTTTGCATATTCAAGTGTGTGTGGTGCAGTTAATGAAAGCCTTTAAAGGTCCAGTGTGTAACATTTAGGAGGATCTATTGGCATAAATGGAATATTATATTCATAGCTGTGTTTTCATTAGTGTGTAATCACCTGAATGTAAGAATTGTTGTGTTTTTGTTTTTCTTAGAATGAGCTGTTTTTATTTAGACGGCACGATCGCCTTCTTTGGCAGCCGCCATGTTGAACCGCTCTGTTTCCATGTTTCGGGGCAGAAGTAGCTCAGTCTGCAGGGACTTGGGAACCAGAGGGTCAGCAGTTCAAGTCCAGCATGGACCACAGTATAGAGCGTGGACCATTAGCCAGAGAGGTGCCAGTTCCACCTCCTGGGAACTGTTGAGGTGCTCTTGAGGAAGAGACCTAATCCCTGGTGCCCCAATCGCTCCACCATTTCTCTACATTTGCATCTCTATAAGCCCTGTGTGGGAATGATTGTATTTCAGGCCATTGTAGTTTCTCCCTCGCAATCTGTTGCAATCTGCCACTAAATGCACACTGGCCCTTAAAGTGTACGTGTGTAATAAAATGTATGAATCACGAATGACTCATACATGCAGAGGTTGTTCGTGATTCAAGGTATTTTGTTCAAGGCATCTAGAGACTGAAGTCAAGCATACAGATACAGAAATCCTTTACTTTTTTGTTTTATTAAGAAAATATTCATTCAATACATGAACTAATATGAGTATAGTAAGGTTACAGAAAAAAATACATAACAATTGCAACTGCTGTATACTTTGTATTCCAAAAATAGCATGAAAATAAATCCAATTGTACAACAAATAAAATATATTAAAGGAAAACAAGAAAAAGCTTCTGGGTCTGCCAGAAATCCTTACTGACCAGTGTTTAACGGGTGGCTACAGGTGATTTCTGTCACTGGTGGACGTTTTTTGTTGCTGACAGTAAGGTTCTACATTTCTATCCTCAGGCTGAGGCAGTCAGTCACTGGAGCCTTCAGGGTGAACAGTGAACTAAAACAGGCCTGCGATCATCTGTCTGAGACAAGCATCAGCAGGAACGGGAAGATAAGATTGGGTGTCCAAGTTTAAATTTCCTCCTCACTTCCTTAGATTCTTAGTGCCTCCTGGGAGCTATACAGGGTTTTTAAGATCCTCCACCAGTCACTTGATCTATTTTACCAGCCAAATATATTTACCTGTCAACTTGCCAAACTGCATTTCATAAGTACAACACACACACACACACACACACACACACACACACACACACACACACACACATAAAATTAAACTTTAAAGGATATACTGTACCTAAAATGACAAATCACATGCATGCGGAAGTTTTTCCTCTGTACAGCAGTGTTTCAGAACCTTGATAATTGGGAACATCTTGTATGAATGGCTCGCTTCAGGTCATTGGACATTCCAAAATATGAAGTCTGATCATTTCAAGCTCAAATGTTGTAGATTTACATCTGTGCCTGAGGTCTTTTTCTGTGTGTGACACAGCCTCTTCAGTTTCAGATGACACATATTTCTGCTTTCATACAAAAGCCAGCTTGTTTCAAATAACAGCATAATCCAGGACCAGCTTTGGTTTATGTTTGAATGCAGGGGCTAAACTATCATAAAGACAAATATTGCCTATTGTACTTCTGTGTTTGTAGTATCAATGCATCGAGCTATTCACATTCTGTGCATTTTCAGACATGTAGAGGAAGGCCCTGTCCACCTCCACACCAAATTTAGAATCAGTCAGAGCTTGCATCATGAAATTACATGAGCTCAGGTATATCATCTCCCATTCAACCTGGCTTTATTTTGCACTTATTTTATTTATGGGGTGAGTCAATTAAACCACCTTTTGCAAAAAGTATCAGTTTTAGAACCTCATGTGCCCGACTCGGTTCTCTCTTTGAGGGGAAGCACGCTGCTCTCAGAAGATCACGCTGCCTTTGTGCAGTGTCTGTGTGTGACTGAAACGGCTCAAAATCCTCTCACTTCTCCAATCTGTGATCATAACATCTCTCACAACATTTCATAACGCTAACAATGCTGAATCTGCTGTCTCTGGGTTCATTTTTCTTCATTTTCTTGTGAGTTATTTGTGTTAAAAGGACGTGAAAACTTGATGGAAGAGTAGAGTTAAACTGTTCATCTGACCATCTACACCAGCTGTTTTTGCATCACAGCTGTATAAGCTGCACAGCAGTTCAGAGGCACTGAGTTAAGGACCCATATACTACATAACTATTACATAAGAGATGGGGAATTACTGTCATCTGACTAATCTTAATGTCCCCCTCCAGTCAAAAAACAGTTGTTCTTCCTGTTCATACAGTGTGATGTTTGATCTTCACTGTGCATAATACTGTCTGTGCAGAATTTGACTCCAGAAGGATGTTTTCACATTCATCTGCTGAAAGTGGAAAGTTTCTCTGAGCTCATTGAACATCTGATTTTAAGGGGCACGCCTACCAGCATGATCACAAATAGTTAGGAAGTCAGTCCTGGTCCAGTATGCAACTTGTACAGTGTGATGTAGAAACTTGAAGCCACCAGTGCACATCCACTGAGAATGGACTTTACAGTGAAGTAGGAGACATCTTGTGTCCAGCAGGGAAACTTTAGAAATGAACAATATTTGCATATTCAGAGATTCTGGAAGTTTTAATGAGGCAGAAGGAGGAGATGACTTTTATTGATTTCAATGTGGAAATTTTACTCTTTAAACATATCAAACACACATTAGTGTTCCAAGCAGACTATGTGTCATGTCTCATACATGTCTGGTAGGGGTCTTCAATGAGTGTGGAAGTTCATGCTTGAAAGAAAAAATCTTAACTCAAGGTCAACAGTTTAATGAAGTTTTCCTCCCTTTTGATAGATGGAGGCCTCATTGTGGTGCATTTGCTCCATGTAACAGAAATGGGCTTTTGGGTGCACTTTGCTACTTCTATGGTGCCTTCAGGTGCACTTCCAACTTCAAAATGAATACATATGACTTGCCTCTGTTTAAGGCCTTTAGGTGATACAGTGCACCATCTAGCAGCCAAATTGGAGGTCAAAAGCTGAAAACAACAGCATTCATGCATATGCAACTTGGTTTTTGTATTACTATATTTATGACTATACATGATTCTTTTCAGGGTTATTGACCATCACTCATGTTTTTACTCAACTAAACATATAAACAGCTAAGTTTGCTGGTGATTTAATGTACATTAGAGATCATTTAAAGGTCCACTGGGTATCATTTAGAGGATCTATTGTCAGAACTGTAATATAAAATTCAAAGGTATGTTTTAATTAGTGTATAATCCCCTGAATATAAGAATTGTTGTGTATTCGCTACCTTACAATGAGCTGTTTTTACCTACAGAGGGAGCGGGCCCTTTTCTACAGAGTCCGCCGTGTTGAACTGCAATGTTTCTACAGTAGCTCACAATGGTCAAACCAAATACTGGCTAGTTTTTCAGAAGTTTCAGGGCCACTGTAGTTGCTAATAAATGCTTGGTAGGCTGGGTAGTATTCAAATGGCTGTATTCTGTAACTAGATGCCACTAAATCCTACACACTGGTCCTTTAAATATACATCCATTGGCTACATCTAATTGAGTGTTGAGGCAATGCTAGCCAAATATTAGACAGGTAGCATGGCTAGTTGCTTTAGTATTTCAGAACTACAAAGACATTGGCTTATCTCGATTTTAACTGGCAATAACAAAAGTGATAATATTATTGTTGGTTAGTTTTAGGAATTGAATTATTTTTAAGACATTTTAGCTGTAGCCTATGGATTTTCCACTATCTAAGGTAATGTTAAATTAACTCATTATGCGACTTTCATAGTCTCAACCATTTCCATTCAAAACCAGACAGGTCCATAAAACACCATGTCTTGGATACTGGACTTTGAGAGCAAATGGCCTTTTTCCTCATACTTTCTCAGCCGCTGGAATAGTATCCGACAGCACGTGAAGGCAGCACAGAGATAGCGCTGCTCCTCTGCTCCAGTCAGTGTCCACTCCGAGGTGTGCTCTCCATTGAGTTGAACACGGAGAAGAGCCTCTTGACAAGTTTTAACCTGGAAATATCGTCCTGTGGTCCCGGCGAAAGGCGAATTTATTCGGACCTTTGTTTCGAAAAGAGAGGGAATTTTTTTGGAGGACGACAATAGTCCCCAGAACCCGAAGAACAAGAACTGAGTGAACGCTGCCAGCCTGTGAGCCTTGTTGTGCCGGGGGAGCCTTTTTGTTTGGGGTTAACCTAACTGTGAATAGCAGTGGCGCGCTTTCCTTCGGCTTGGAGAGTAATTGTAAAATATTCTGAAATACTTTGTGCCTGGCGTGTGTGAGTGTGCTGGGTTAAGCTGTGATGAGGAGAGAATTTAACAGCGGTGAAGCGCCAGACGGAGACAGCGAAAGCTAAGCTCATCTCACCCACCAACCAACCGACCGACCGACCGACCGACCACCGGTGGTCAACGACCACAGAAACACAGGTACTTTAACTTAGCACCTTCATGCTACATGCTCGTGGTGTGTGCTCTGCCGCCTTTCACATTACTTTGCTAGATAATGTTACGTAGGGCTGTAGTTGGTGTTTAGTGGCCAGACAGTGAAATCTGCTAATGTTAGACGGCGAACATGTGTGTATTGTGTGTGTGTGTGTGTGTGTGTGTGTGTGTGTGTGGGGGGGTATTGGCCAAAGCGAGGATACCGTCTCCCCAGCTCGTCATGGCTTGTATGGAGTTGGCCAATGCTCCCGTTGCGAGGGAATTGTATGCAGAACCCCATTCAAAAAAAGGGCAATTTAAGAACGCTGCTTTGAGTGAAGCGCTCCTCTCAAAAGATATGCATTACAACGACATTGGAGTAGTAGCTAGTCTTTTGTTCTGTTCGGCTGTTAAACCAACTACTACCAAACTCAATATCGAGCCACTGTGGCGTGAGCTGATACTGGTAGTTTTATTTAAATATATACTAAGTTCATATGTCACTTGGTGGATCAGATGATGCTGCATTCATCTGGAGACCGTTACGAGTCGTGACAGGTTATTATTTATGTGTTTTTAGCTTTAAAGTTTGGTTTATGGGGTTTGCCACACATGAGAAGTGCATGTGTAAGAGTCTGCCTTGTTCTCCCCCTGTCTGACTGCAAACCATTTATTTGCTTGTGTTGTAAGGTTATTGCTTTAAAACATCCTAATATTAGACAGTGTTATGGCTCTGCTGCTTCTATCAGAATAGAGTTGCTGTAGTTTTTTAATTTGGCATTCTCTTTTAAAATGATTTCATTTGAAATATTGAATCATAAATTGGGTGTGATCCACGAGGGACTGTCTTAAAAGATACCCACTCCCCTCACATGTTATTTGATGTACAGTTCCAGTAGTTTTCCGATGCTTCACTCCCTGTATTAGATTACGATTTAATCAGATATGCATGGAGGCCTTTAATCCTTATTTAACTAGGCAAACCGACTACAAACAGGGAGGGATGTGCACATACACATCCTTCATATCCAGCTACAGCACCGCTATACCATTAAGCATCATCTCCAGTGGAGCATATGGGTAGTAAATGCCTTGCTCAGGGGCACCTCGAGCATCGTTTTCTCAGGAGGACTAAGTGTTTTACAATCATCTCCCTTGTGCAACATTTCCCGGCCAGCATGACTACATGATTAGTTCTAGCAGCACACCTCGAAAACCTATTACATGTCTGCCTCCACCATGATCGGGCTGGAACACTTTACAGGCCATGGTTCATTATGTATTTTGCTGTTGAGGGCCATGGTTCAGTGCTCTATGTTTTCATACTGGATACAGGAAGAAGAAACATACACACCAGTGTGTGTGTGTGTGTGTGTGTGTGTGTGTGTGTGTGTGTGTGTGTGTGTGTGTGTGTGTTTGGGAGAACAATCACTAACGTCTTACCTGCAGCTGTGTCAGTATCCCTAGCATGTTGGTGCTTGTTAATTTGCTCTAATCCTCTACTCTAATTTTAATCATTTCTTATATGAAGAAACAACCCTGTATTTTACTGTAGCCGCTTGAAAATTTACAACCTTTATAGTACGTTTCATCGGGGTATAAAAAAATGGACATTGCGTCTGCACTTCCTCCCACTGTACTAAATTGAAGCCAAAATATGGCCGCTGCCATTTTTGCATAAAGTTGAGGTCCTGGCTAGTGATAGACCAATTAATTGGTTGGCCACTGGTCTGAGCTCACAAGGCCGATAAACAAAAAATATCTTCAGACATCTCTGCAGGCAGTCTTGTCGGTGTAGTTACTTTGGAATGATGTTAGCTCTCCCCCTTGTGAGTTTTGGGAAGGTGGTGAAAACGTTGGTTTTAAGCCCTGTACCATAACTTTCATGTATCCTACTGTAAAGATATTCCTGAGTTTCCTATAGAATAGAATAGAATAGAATAGAATAGAATTGTACTTGACCTTTCTTCATTTTGGTATCAGCAGTATGTTTTGGCCATCAGCAGCCGTGCTCTCTAAATATCTGCATTGGCCATTGAAAACCAGTATCGGTCGACCACGAGTCCATGCTACTTAATGCAGGTGTATCCAGCAGTGCCACCTCTGGAAATGCACAAAGACATTTTAAACTAACTGTTGTCGATCTAATATGAAGCAACTGCTAAATGTTTTCAGAAACACATTTTGCTTAACTATTTTCATAATGTAAGAGAGTTTCCAAATGAGCTGCCATGTTGGTCTGGTTTGAAATCCAGGGGCAGGAAGCGTTCAACTTCGACTTCAACTGTCCAATGCTGGGAAGCAGCACAGCACTTCATGTCCAATCACACCCCCATGGAAACATACCATTACTCGCACTGTTAGGAATGAGAAAGGGTACTGTAATTATACACTCTGTTCCAAAATCTGATCAAAAATACACATCCACAGCTAGAAGTGGTGTTAAAAATGTTATACTTTGTGGTATTTTTACTGAAATTACACTCTTGAGACCTTCGACCAAGTGGGACATTGATCAGAATGGCATACCAATCTGTGTCACAGAGCTAGACAAAATTATTCTAACAATCAATTTTCAATCAGTCATAACTTTTCAGCAGTAGAGGTAATTTGGGGTCTGAGACATGCACCATTCAGCAAGTTCTTCTTTTGTTGCAGTTTTAGAATAATAATGGCTTTTATTTGGAAATTTAGACCGTGATTCACGTACAATGATGCTGTAATTGGAATTGTGATACGCACTGTGTCCTTATCTGATAGGGCGTTGAAGCCAGATGATTCATTTTTATTGTTCTTAGATTTTTCTTCACAATCTTACAGCTAGATAAATATAAGAAACACACTATTAGGCACAAATTCTGCCTCGTTGTGAATGATTTTGCCTGCCTTTTTTCATCTGATATATACCACAGTAACATTTGGATTCAAACCACTTGAAAAAAATATTAAGGTACTTTCAAGCCTCCATGTCTTCCAACTCTCTGAGGCCATTGTACCAGGTGATTACTGCCAGAAAACTCTGCAAAGCTCTTCTACTCAGCCTGTGTTCAATTTGGTGCAGCACATGAATGTTCTCTGTTTAAATAGAAGCAATGAGAAGGAGCTATTTGGCCTCGTCTCAACAGTTCATTTACCTACAGCCTCTTCATGTAACAGCCTTGTTGGTGAGCACAGGCCTCAGAGTATAAATGATATCTTTCTGGCTTTAAAATACTGCCTCTGTGAATAATAAATACAGTTGTTTGCTCAGTTTTTGTTTAAATTCAGCATTTTTTGGCTTTAATCTGGTATGGACTGAGGAAGGGCCAGATCCTTAATATAATAGTGAGATTAAACAAATTCTGCCAACATGATTACAAAAGTAAGTTAGTAGATGGAAGCAAATGAGACATGTAGCGGATGTCACTGTTACAAGTTTGGACAGCCAGCTGCAGCTGAAATAACAACACACTCTGTGGTGCAATAGATAAGAGTGGAACGATTTCAGATTTACTTCTGTGGTAACTTCAGGATTAGCCATATCTTAACAGACAGAGGGTGCAAGCAGCTGCTTACGGCTGATGCAGATCTCAGAGACTGCAGCACATTTGTCAAAAAAGCTAAGCTGTCCCAGTGGAGTCTGAGCTATATCCGAGGACAAGTAAAACTAATACATGAGTAAGGAAATAGGCATACAAAACACAAGAATTCAGGTGCCAGTAGTGAGGAAGACGTACTAAGGGCAGCACAGAAGCAGACTGTGTAAGTTGGTGCAAGAGAAACTGCATGAAGTGGTCTGAACTTGCCTAGTGGTGGGGCAGTAATTAGGGTCGTTATGATACGGCCTAAAATGCTGGACCAGGTGTCAGCGAGTATGTGAGTCTTTTTCTATTTATTATCCCTAAAACTGCTACTTCCCCTGATATTCTCACCCTTAGCAGTCTCACTCCTCATGGTTAAACCTAACCAACCTAACCAACCCAAACCAATAAAGGCAACGAGTACTTGCCAATCAGATGCGGAGTAGCGGAGGTCATGTGTGCTGTGTTGTCACTGGGCACTGGCTACTACTGTTTTAGAGCGGCGAAGAACAGCTGACTTCTGGTAGTGTAACATGACTGCTTGAAGATGCACGCACCTGGGATCGGTACTCTATATCAGCCAATGAGTTGAGATACTGGAATACTGGTAATAATTGTAAGCACATTCAAATACTTCATCTATAGCAGCTTTTAGCCAAGCTAGCAGCATGGCTCCATGGATGGCGATGTCTCTTAGTCGACCATTTTGGTCCAGACTGAAATATCTAAACAACTATTGTGGATTGTCATTAAAGGATTTATAGATGTTCCCAATCAATCTTACTGACTTTGGTGATCCTCTGGCTTTTCCTCTCACACCATCACAAGTTTGTCCTTCTGTGGTTTTGACTGATGTCTCAGCAACTATAGAATAGATTGCCATGAAATTCAGAATGAATTTATTGAACATCAGTGATGCTTTTCCTCCAGCTCCATCGTCAGGTGAAAAATGTAAATTGTTCACTACTTTGTTTTATGACCAAATAACTGCAAAATGTATGACATTCCCATCAGCCTCCGCTGCACCTTGTGTGGCTGTTTGTTTTGTAAAAAGTGCAGTAAGAAGCACATAGGATGCTAATTAGATGCTAAGTAATGATTGTGAAGTGTGTTCAGTGTTTTCTTTAAGACCTTACACCAATGCTCTGATCCTGTTCTTTTTCAGCCAAACACCTGGCTGTCCTAGCAGGAATGGAATTATTAATGGTCTTGCTTCTGGTACAGTTTTCTAAGAAAAACTGAAGATGGATTCCAGTTGTCTGTGTTGACCTGCTGTTTTCCAGCTTTTGTGTCAGGTGTGTCATGAATTCCAACCAGTCAATTTTCTGACACCATCATTCTTTTTAAGTACTAGCATGTTGCTAAATTAGTTGATCTCCTTGAAGATAACATAATACCTTTTCTATCATCTTACAGTCACATATGAGCTTGTTTTATCATTTGCAA